AAGGGAAGCACTGAATAAAAGTGAGAATGTATTGTCACTCTGTGGAAGATAAAAAAAAAAATGGAGCACACAACAGTGTTGATCACAAAGAGAAGATTAAATGAAGATTATTGGCACTAACAACCCTGTGAAGCATGTGGGATATTTTGGTAGGATGTAGAGACAAACCATTCAGGAGGGAACTGAGCTGGGGACGAGTGTTAAGAAAACCTAACAGAAGGTATCTGTTATAAGCATTAAAACATTGCTTGGGATAACCACAGTCCATCTTGTAGTGCCTAGCTGGGAGTCTCAGTTTTGCTGCCAATTCCAGGTTTCTGCTCATGTGCATTATGGGAAGCCTCTGGTGATGACTCAAGTGGCTGGGTACCTGCTACCCATATGGAAGGCCAGGACTGTTTTTTGCAGGCTCCAAACATCAGTCTAACCCAACCATTGTATTTGTGGGCCTCTGGGGATGAGAAATTTCTCTTGCTTTGTACCTCTATACATCTGTGTCTTGGAGTTTTTTTTTTTCCTTAAAAAATGTTGAAGCATGTAGGAAAGGAAAACAGTCTAATAACCTATGACTAAGATCTGTAATATTTGATTAAGAGGTACTTGAAAATTGCCACTGAATGAGAGGATGAATGCATGAACATATTAATGAATAACATCAGTTTCTGTTAAGTATCATCGTCTCTGAACCCTAAGAGTCATTGAGAGAATCATTGTATTGGAACAAGTGACAATCTGGTTTTAGTTTTAATGGAATATAGAGCACTCTTTTTCAAAATGAAATGCTTTCTTCAGATTCCTGTTGATTGAAGAGAAGTACAGTAGGGATAGTATACAAAATTTTTAACCTTAAATCACTATGCAGCTATTCTTATTTATGATAGAATATTATTACTAAATTGATCAGCCATGGCAAAATGAGATTTCTGCACTTTATATTTTTTTCAGACAGTAACTTGCCTTCTTCATCTCCTGGCTTTTGATGTTCTTTCACCAGGAAGATCCACTTCACTCCATGCAGAGCCGTGTCAGTGTACATGGAGACAGGAAGGCCACATACAGCCAATGGCACCTGAGAGTAGGTGGAGTGGAGTGAGTAGCACTCGGTACCTGCAAGTGGCCACACTTACATTCTTACGTTTGCTTGTTTTAAATTTCCTATGACATTTCTGAACTCTTAAGATCTAAATGAGTAAGCTAGGGAGCTATGGGAGGATATTAGCAGTGTTCTACAGTTGGAAACCTGGAAAATGTGGCAGCCTGGGAAATGAGGGAGCAGATTTTAGTCCAGCTCAAGAACATTTTTAAGATAACCGAGGGAGGCTGCCTCCCCGATTCCAGTGCTGGTCCAGTGTTGCCTCTGTGTTGCATTTTTTTTTTTTTTGTTGGAGACTTCCTCACATAATGTCAGATGGGAGCACTTGACCTCTAAAGTCTCCTCTGTCACAGTTTGTGAAACATGGAGAAAGGACTGTAGACAGTGAATAGTCTGTACCGCGTGCAGGACAGGTCTTAGAAGGGGTGTCATTTGCTATGACAATCCTTCAACAACTTCTCACACCTCCTCCCTCATCACGACCACACTAACCATTAAAAATATTGTAATATTTTTGAGAACCAGTGAGAAATGTTAGAGTAACAAATATCAGTAAGACAGGGCTTATATATTTTGTGTTTCCTGTGGCATGCACAGGGTGGAATACCCTCTAGCCCCATCCATCACTACTTGATTTAGATTTGTGTTGAAGGCTACTGGTCTGGTACACCTTGGTCTTTTAGGTGAAGGGGAAATAAGAACTTGTCTCCATAAAAATACGCAGCATTGAGCATTAAAATAACAGTGTTTCTTGAGTGCTGGCAGCATAGGAATGAATATTAGGTTCAGAAGAGAGAGTGGTTAATAGCAGGACATGGTACTGGAGCAAACATTAAAGCCTGTTGCAAGAATCAAGTGACCTTCCTCCCATCCTCACCAAACTTGGAAAAGAATCACCACAGAAATCCAAGTGCTACTCTAACACCTGGGTGGTAGTGTCTGGCTTTGTGTTCAGACCCTGATGTATTTCTAAAATTCCACTGGAATCACATTTTCAGTGAGATTTGGGATTGAGAAATATCCTAGCTATTTCAGTTAGAATCTCTGTCTCATCGAGTATTTCAGATGGTTTTTAAAAGGCCGTAGGAGCATTGGACTGTACCTGGGTCCCCATCCCACAACACCAAGAATGAGCTAAAACTCTAAAGGAATTTGCAACACAGATTTTTCCAAAGCACCTCAGAGCAGAATGTCTCCTAGCTGTCTTGGAGAACATCCCAAGTGCAGCTTGTACCAAATGAAACCCAGAAGCTTTTGCAAAAATGTTCTGACCTTGAGTTTGAAATAAGCAGAAGATTTTATGGTTTCTACCAAAGGTCATGGGAGAGTCCCAAGGAAGTATCCAAAATGAGAATTGTAGTTCTTCAAGCTGCTTTCACCTAAAACTGTGTATCACTGATAAAGGGTCACCTTCGTAGGGAAAGGACAGCAACAGAACAGTTTCATAGGTTCTTAGTAAGGCAACGAGGCCTCTATGTAGAAGTAGTCTACCAAAGGCAATACATATAGTCATTTTTCAGGCTTATCATATTGCCTTTTTGTCAAACCCAAGAAATGCCACTGGATGTTTATTTGCCTGTTTTTCAGATAAAGAATTCATTTACCTTCACGTCCTGCATTTGCCATAAAATTACATAACTATTTTAGTTTCAGTTTATACTATTCCTGTTGGTCATGTGAATAAAATATCTTAGAGTTTGAAATTCCTTATATTTTTCTTCTCTTTGTGTATGCTTTTATAATTATTGTGTCAATTAGGTCCAGTTGGCTGGGGATTCTGGATATTTTACCTATATTCTTACTAATGTTCACCTGTTGCAAATGTTGAAATTCCTAGAGCAATGTGAAGTCTCTAGTTACTGAAAATAGATTTGTCTGTTTCTCCTTGTAATTGTTTACATTTTTTGTGCCTCATTTTTGATACTGTCATTCAGCTCATATACATTTAGGCTTATCGTATGTTCAGAAAAATTGGACCCGTATCATGAGATATTGTGAGATTATAGTTCTTCCTATGAAATCTGCTCTGTCTGGAATTAATACAGCTGCTCCATTTTTCCGTGGATTGGTTTTAGCATGATGTATCCTGCTTCATCCAGTAACTGTTTCTGCTCAGTTTCACTGAGGTGACATGTGCTTGACAAGGAAAAGGTGTATGTAAAAGTGGCCTACGTGATGAGGATCAAGCTAGTTCATTTGTTGCCTCCCTAGCTAATAGCTTTAATGCAGCTCTGCCGTTATATTTTCAGTTGGTCTTCTGTAGGCAATTCACAGTTTGGTCTTATTTTTCTTATTGACAATGATAATCACTGCTGAACCCAAGCAAAGGTAGACAAGGTCAAGGGGAAATTCCTCAAAGTGGTACTGTTATTTTTAAGTTGCCTTTTTTCATCCTGCAGTGTTCACTTGGTTGCTGTAAACCTTTGGTTTTGACAAAGTTGAGAGACTTTTTTTTTTCTTTTTTGATGTTGCTCTGAAAGGATGGGTCCTTAGGGCTATCTGCTCTTTCAAATGTTTTCTTATTGGCATCTGCCAGATGCTTTGATATTTTATTAGCTTTCAAGAAACCAACTTTAAAAGGCAGTTTTTGAGATGACCCTCTAATTTTCTAATTTTTGGTTTTGTATTGAATAAATTCATCTCATTTTTTTCTCAGTATCTTTCCATAAACTTGTCTTTTTATTTTTTAATTTTTATTTTTTAAAGACAAAATTATCTAATGGTATATAAGGATACTTTGAAGAGTTTGTGGAAATGCAATTAAAAGATAAGTTTGCTTAGAACATGGTTGTTTAAAGTGTAATTAAAGGACATGTTTGTTCAGATTTCTGTGTAAGTATGCTTTTCTGAATGGAATAAGTTAACTGCTTTTTCCTTAAGCCACCTTTAATTCTTTCATTCCATATTTAACTAAGAATTATTTATGAAGTGTTTTTAAACTTTCTAAGTGATTTATTCACTTTTCTTTTTGCCACTTGTTTCTATTTTATTTATTCTTTAAAGAGATAATCCTTAGATTGTCCTTTTCTATTTGTTTTATTTTTTGCTGGCATTGAATTCATCACATATTATGCCACATTGCTGGCTCTCTGTTTATTTTTACTATTTTTTTTAGTCTATAATGTGGGTTGCAAGTGTTCTTATTTTTGTACTATAAATATTATCTGGATAAGAATTTATTAATATTTACATTAATTTTCACAGTCATATTAACAATTAATGACAATTGTATATTAAAGAAAACAGTACATTTTAATGGGCTCATTTCTCAACTTTTTACCTTAATCTTCAGCCTGTGTTACAAGTAGTTTTCTTATTTCTTATGTAAAATCAGCACATTATCCTTTACCCCCTGAAAATGTGAGCATGCATTTTAATAAATCCCTGCTGTGCATGAAGCATGTTTAGATGTGAATCCTTTTAGCTTGGCTTGCCCCTTACTTTGACACAATGCCTATGACTCCCTTACTGTCAGCCTTGAAACTTATGTCTTGTGTCTAAAATTCTCTTTCAGGCCTTGGTAAGCCTGGTCTATTCGAACTTTTAAAATGGCATCTTAGTGGAACCAGTTTTGTGCTATTTGAAGTATTTGCATTACGTGTTGGATTAACTATTTGAGTCCAGGCTCCTTCACTTTTTTGGACAGGCTAGAAAGTAGTAGATGATGGCTCAAGTCCTTGAATTTTTGCCACATGGGAGATCCAAATGGGGTTTCTGGCTCTTGGTTTTGGCCTGGTCCAGCCTTGAGATTTGTGGCCATTTAGCATAAGGAGTCTGTGCAAGAATTCTGTCTGTCATATTGATTTTCAAGTAAAAAGTAATAAAACATTTTAAAAATAAATAAAATGGGATCTGATGTTCAGTGACACTCATTTTGTCTATTTTTTTTCTTCTCTCCCTAACTTAGGCTTTGGAAGATCAGGTATGGGAACTCTTACAGGAAGCAGACAAAACAGCTGAAGAGAATAAGGATCAGAGTCAGGTGTATGAAGCCATGGCCCAGACCCTGGGTGAAGCATGGAAAGGCCTCGTATTCATGCTTGAAAGAAGAAGGGAACTTCTTATGCTGACCTCTGAATTTTTTGAAAATGCTTTGGAGGTTTGTGTTTAAAAACAAAACAAAAACTTCTAGTTTTTCACATTACAACAAGTGAATAACATTTCTGGCAATATTAATGTGCAAACTGACATGTAAGTTAAGCCAAAAAATAGTATCACCACAAAAATATGTGCAGATTTTCTGAATGCTCAAACATAGGACTGTTGGTCTACACTGTAGTGTGGTGCCTTGAAACTCCACCTGCAGTGGCAACACTGGTTTGTGTTCTGGATGCTCCACTTCTGATGGTCTGGGAAATCAGTACCCACATGGGAAACCAGGACAAAGTTCCTGGCTCCTAGCTTCATTTGCCCAACTTGGTCCACTATGGCCGTGTGTGGAATGAACCTATCTGTACATTCCTCTCTTTTCTGTCTTTCCTTATATGTAACTCTACCTTTCAAATAAAAATAAAAATCTTTAACCAATTAAACTGTTAATATTTTAAATATAGGTCTCTGATTGAAAACCAAATATAATTAATAAATTTTGACTAAAATGTCAAGTAAAAGTAGAAATACTAGATAGTAAGCCATTCTGATTCTTTTTCTCTTCTCTTTAGAAGATAGTAATGTAATTCCTAAATAAGTTACCTTAATTATAAGATGCTCATAATTATAAGATGTTAGTAAGAATTTACTAACAGTGTTCCTGTTGGCTAAAAGTTGGAGGATATAATTTCCTTTGTTACTTATTTTAAACATAAATTGCAGAATATACCATAGAGAGTTTGACTTGTACACTAGAATTTTATGGAGTACTTTCCTAAGGTATGTGTTTGATTTTTCATTAAGTTTAAGCTCACTAGATTACAAAACAAGGAACAAGTCCTGGTACAGAGAAGGCCATTTCTCCATATAAGATATTTTTTAATTGTTAGGGTTTTTATTTCAGTTTCCCAATTTCATAATGTGAGACTCAAATAGCTTTATCAAAAGAGGTGCTAAATTTGGTGTAAGGCAGCTATTGAAAATTTCTCTTTCAGCTTCTCTGTCAAGTGGCAATACGTTCATGTTGATATGAAAGCACTGCCTCATTATGATGAAGTATGAGCTTTGAAAAATAGGACATTTTTGAACTAAAAATTCAGGGCCTAGATCCAATATAATGAAGAAAAGAAGATTAGTTACAGTGCATAAAAATGTAGGTAGACAATCTCATGCATTATAAACTCACTTAAAAGCAAGAATCAGGAACAGAAACCTTATTGTAATTGGTTTGTTTTACACAATTTGAACATTGAAACCAAGCTCATAATTCATTTTACAGATCATTTTGGGAAAAAGTTCCATATATAATCTTTTCTGAAAAAGAATAAGCCAACTGAAATACATCTACAGAGGCCAAATTTTTCCATCTTAGTAAGTAGGGTATATGGATATCAGCTATCCTTGAGGCAGCACTTTTGAGCAGGGAATTACCTTTTTCCTGATATTAAGCTCAGTGTCTGTTTCTCATCATGTTCCAATATTAATGCTAATTAATGATGAGTAAAAGAAATTAAAAAATTATTAATAATGCAACTTCAGTAGAAATACTGATTGTTTTTGGTGTCCCAATCCGATGTTGTGCAGGCAGACACCTGCATAATCTTCCATCCCTTTTGTAAACCAAACCACTTTTCATTAGTAATTGAAAAAAAAAAAAAGAAGACGACAGTGACATTAACAAGATCTTTGAAAAGTGTCCTACTTAACAACTTGTTCAGGGGCAGGATGAACCAAGTTGTAAACTTGTAGGTGGGGAAAAGAAAATATCTATCAGGGTCAAAGTTAGTAACATTGGGAACACTTTCCCGAGTACAGAATTATTTGCTTATGCATTTTTAAAAAATTTAAATATAAATGTGAAATATGCATGTTATACAATGACTGCAAAATTTTCCAGGCTGCTCTGCAGGGAAACAAAACAAGTCATCTGCTAGAGGTGGGTTGTTTTTGTTTTTGTCTCTTTGAAGATCCTCTTCAAAGAATATCTTTCAAATAAGTTATTAGAAACTGAAACAATAAGACATATTGATGACATGTAGTGTCATCCCCTTACTGAACTACATGCATGTGGGTGTTCTTTAGAAGTACAAGATGTCTTATTATCTGGCATTTGATGATGATTTCAGGGTGATTTCAGGCTTATAGATGCACCTTCAGGGAGACCCTGCTCCCCTCAAGCACTGTCCGGTCCTTGGAGAGCACTGTCCCTACCTGGGAAAGGCAGATGTCAGGCTGTCCTGACAGGATGCTACAGGCTTCTGCATCTCAAAAGATGATACACACATCAGTTCCTCTCCCTTCATTCCACATCATGTATAACGGAATGTTATTCAACTGTTTTGTCCAAGTGCAGCATACATTATTCATCAAAATATTAAAACACCAAACACAAAGATAATAGTTGAAAGAAACCATGAAAATGATAGTCTTCTGTGTTTTTCTCCCTAGATTAGGTTAATATGATCACATAGTAAGCATGTTAAAGTGCTTCTTAATACTACATCTTAGAGCTAAAATGAGGTAGTAATGTGCCTACTACCAAGGATAACCATCTGTGGTTTTTATCTTTCAAAGTTTGTATCTGATATGGTTCTCCTAAGGATTTGACCATATTTTTCCTTCATGGAGGAAAAATAGAAACAAGACCTGTTTGTTCACTATTTGGGGTATCATCTTGTCGGATATTTTCCTTTGAAACATGAACTTTTTTTTTTTAATATTCCTGTAGTTAAACTTATTTTTATTTCACAAATAATGCATACATATTATTGGTAACAATACAAATAAGATACACATATTTTCAAAAGCTGAAAGCTCATCTGTGCTCAAAAATTTCTAATTCTGCTTCTTCTCATAGAGGCATCCATTTTGTGTGTATCTTTGCAAACAAATTTCTCTATAGATATACTTAATTTTTGCTTTATATAGAAAATGTCATTAGACTGTGTTATTCTGAAACTTGCCCTTTACCATTAAAATTATGTGGGGGAAAAAAGACTATATCCTTCCAAGTTCCTAAGCAAATTTATTTATAACGTACAGGTTGTTGATTAGTCAATTATTTGTTGATTTCTATTAGTAAATTTGCTGCTTATTCTTAATAAATTGCTTTAGAAGTGCTAAAAGTAATTATATTTATTATAGGATGCAATAATTCTGGTTGAAAATATATTTTTAAAAGCAATATTATTTGTTTGAAAATCAGAGTTACAAAGAGCCAGAAGAGAGAAATATTTTCCACCCACTGATTCATTCTCCAGATAGCCACGATGACTGGAGTTTGAAGCCAGGTGCTGAAAACTGCATCCGCATCTTCCCCGTGGGTGGAGGGAACTCACGGGAACCCAAGCACTAAGGCCATATTCTGCTTTCCCAGGCACATGATGAGGCAGTTTGATTGGAAGCGGAGCAATTGAGTCTCTGGCCTGTGTGACATCCTTGTCCCACAATGCTGTTCCCTGGCTGAAGCATTTGGTAGACATTTCAACAGTAAACATGCTGGTATTACAGCACATGTGGTCTATTTCTAGTGAAGAAAGAAAAGCAGGGAAAGAAGTGTAAATCTGTAAACTGGTCACATACAAACAAATATCCACTCTCATATACACCACTGTACTAACACAGATACACAGTAATAAATACTCATTTAGCCTATTGGTTCATTTAAAAATATTAATAGCAAGATGGCATGTTCATTTTTCTTTTTAATCGTATTTCTCCTGTATTTTTGTTGTAGTTTGCAATTAAAATAGATCAAGCTGAAGATTTCCTCCAGAATACTCATGAATTTGAAAGTACCGAGTCCCTAAAATCTCTTCTTCAGCTCCATGAGCATCATACTAAAGGCAAGAACTTTTACTCCTCACTAAAACTTTAAAGTTTAAAATGTATTAACATGAGAGTGTTTATGGTGATGCATTTTTAACTTTTCTGCTTCTGTCTACTTCAATTTGTTCCACGAAAGAAGACATAAAACTTTGTCTTTGACTATCTCTTAAAAAAAGGAAATGGTTCTAAATTGGTCTAAGAGGATGGGAGAGGAAGAATCTACAGGAACGTCACCCACTCAGTCTGCTAGACTTTTGGCTTTCAGATTTTAGGCAGAAATTACCCCTCTGGGCACAGTGTTTGTCCCTTCATTCCCAGTGTCTAGCAAGGTGCCTAGCACAAGACAGATCCTCAAGAGATTTTTGTTATTTGAAGATAAAGGGCTGAATTCAGTGAAAGGTACGTCTAAAGGTTAACAAATGAAAGGTCTAGCCTTTACATGATATGGTTGGTGAGAAAATTAACTCTCTTGTCATTATAGCTGTAGGAATCAGGATTTTTCCAGACAGAAATCTTATGAGACACTGTACCAAAAAAAAAAAAAATTGCTCAACTCTTCTAAGAACTTGTGGACAGGACAATTGTTAAATGGTGGCTTGTGTGCTGTGCCTTATCTACCAGAATTGGGGTGGGCTATGACTGGAGTAGGGAAGGCATTAATGGAAGGGTAGTTTGCACTGGCATTTGTTTCTGTGGAAGGACAGTAGATACACAGTTGCAAAAAAAAATCAGTTCTTTCCTTTGTAATGTGTTTTCTAATTGGCACTGCCCAGTGGACCTCAGTATAAAGGAAATAACTCCCTTAATTCATTTTTCACAGTTCTGACTTGACACCTAACTCCCTTTCGTCTGCTCGTGCTAGACAGAAGCAAAGGGCATTTTTAAAGCTGTGAGTAGATTCTGTTTCTGTCACCTTTTGAAGGGTTTTGGATAATAGGTAACTATAAAGCCCTTATTACTACAACTTTCCCAAACCTCAAAGATTCAAGAACTCAATCTTCACTTTGTTTATGTCTTCTGAAAGTCTCCCCTCCCCACACACACTTTGAATTAGTTGTTATTCCATAGGGCCTATCACTGACAAAGATTATAAATAGCATCCAAAGACTCCATGTGAAAATATCAGCATGCCCAATTTCATGCAGCAGAGGCATGTTCCTGCAGGGTCCTGCAAGGGGTCAGCAGAGCCCCGTGAAATCCTGCCCGGAGACTGGAAAGTAGATCTAGTCCAGGTAACAGATGAGTTCTGTAATGAATTCAGTCTGTTATGATCATCACACAACAATCTTGTGTCCTATGCTTTGCAGTGACTGAAACTTTCACAACAGAGCTTCAACCAAGGCAATCATGAAAGCATTTTCCAGGGGGATTGACAGGTTGTGGAAGTGGAGGTTTTTCCACATATATTTGGGGGTGGATCTGGAAGAAGGGTATAACTTAAAGCTGTTTTGTGCATGCTGTTGTTGGTGCCTGCCGAGTTTATGGGATGCGGAGCACAGAGAGCCACTTTATGGGAGTGCATGCTGCTTTGTGTGACAACAGTGTGTGGTACTGATATGGTGCCAAGATGAGAGTGGCACCATTAACTTGCTTTTCAGGGATGTAGTATTCCAGAGTCTACTTGACATCTTAGTCTAAAGCAATAAATAAAAAATACTATTTTTGTGATGGGCAAATCTTTGGTAGCATGCCTGTCCTGAAATTATTGGCCTTCTGTCAAAAATTGACAACAAGGATTGAAAGGGGATCTGGTTAGGTCACCTGCTTCTATTCCATCTGCTCAGTGATGGCTTCAGGGCTTTGCTTTCATGTAATGGGAATGGATGAAACTGATTAACCCACTAATTCAGTAAGATGTGACTAAGATCAGCTGATACAAAATGCATATTAAAAATGAAATCCTGGTGTTTACTTAAGAGTTTCAAGTCTATAATCTTAAAATTTAAGGAAACAAAATACATCTGTAAGTACAGCTGGCAGTTCTATGTTTCTGATATTGACTAGTGAGTAGTCAAAGTGGGAGTATTAGGATGACAAATGCTGATAGTGTAACTGAAGAAGCTATTCATACTTACCCTGACGGCCACTTTATTTTTAAAAATGATTTCTTTATTTTGAGAGAGTTACAGAGAGATAGAGGGTGAGATCCTTCATCTGCTGATTCACTCCCCTCTTGTTCCCCACAGCCAGAGCTGGGTCGGGCTGAAGCCAGTAGCTTCCTCTGAGTCTCCCACATGAGTGCAGGGGTCCAAGGACTTGAGCCACCCTCTGCTGTTTTCCTAGACCATAAGCAAGGAGCTGGATCAGAAGCAGAGCAGTTGGGGACACAAACTGGTGTCACAAGAAGAGGTTTATTAGATTGATACCACCATGCTAGCCCAATGGTCTCTTTATTTCAGTTACCTTACTTATGCTTTTCCCTTATTCAAAAATGCTAAGGTATGTTGCATGGCAGAAACTTTGTCTATAAAATTGTGGTCAGAACCAGTATGATAGTTTCTGCCCTGTGGGATGCTACAGAAAAAGTCAGTCCCCAACAAGACAATCCTAGAAATAGTTGAAGACTAACATCCTCTCCAGTGCCCTCTGATTTGGGTTAAACATGCCTGGTTAAAATCTTTTCTAGTAAAGATGGTTTCCAGACTCTTGTCTGGCTTGCTTGACCTAGATTCAACAACACACAAGTAAAAATTACTTTCTGAGCTCATGGCTGGTGAGAAACCCATGGCTGTGTGTCAGGGGAATCCATGATCCTTGCCTTTGGGATATCTACAATCTAGCAGGGCAGGTGCATAATTATTATGGAATTCTCTGTGCATTTCCTGTGAATACCTCTGTGACACCAGCTGGCACACTGTATAGTGATAACATGCTTCTCTTTTCATCTCCGTCACCACATCTTTGACTCTCTGGGCTTAGAACAGTCCCCATCTCTGAGGATCGTTCCTGAGTATGTTTTACATATAAATAAAATATAAGACATGATATATGATGGTATAAAAGTGAGCAATAAACTAGATACATTAGGGACAATAAGGAAAAGAAAGCTTACTGTAAGCTCTGAGAAATCACAATGACACTCTCCAGTTTTTTAATGCCAATCTTAAAATGATTATCATGTCTAATAAGCTGTATCATAGGATGTCATATCATTACTTCGTTTTTCATAGATGTCATATATCAATTTTGTCATAAGTTGGATAGAGGCTTATTTACATCAGCCATCTTGTCGACTTTTATGTATTTTAAGACTTTTTATTTAATTTTATTGTAAAGTCAGATATATAGAGAGGAGGAGAGACAGAGAGGAGGATCCTCTGTTCATTGATTCACTCCCCAAGTGACCACAATGGCTGGAGCTGAGTTGACCCGAAGCCAGGAGCCAGGATCCTCTTCCTGGTCTTCCAAGCAAGTGCAGGGTTCCAAGGCTTTGGGCCATCCTCAACTGCTTTTCCAGGCCACAAGCAGGGAGCTGGATGGGAAGTGGAGCTGCCGGGATTAGAACCGGCACCCATATGGGATCCTAGCACGTTCAAGATAAGGACTTTAGCTGCTAGACTACAGCACCAGGCCCTACTTGTATGTATTTTTAGAAGTGCATATTAAGCAATTTTAAGAAAACAATCCCCCTTAAGAATATTTGGAACTGAAAAATATGTTAAAAACAAGTATCATCCAAGATCTCAGCACCAGTACTTTAATGTCAACAATTGTTGAAAAGATCTTATTTGAAAAGGTGTATAATAAGCTGAAAGTATACCTAACTTATTACCCTTCATTATCAACCATTTGAAATTGGCTAATTATGCTAAATAATTTGGGCATACCCTATAAGTAATTATTTAAAATGTATTTTCCCATCAGTTCTTAATATATAGTGGGACTTAAATAATGATAATTTATTGACTATATGTGCCATCACAAAGTGTTGCGCTAATAAGGGTTTTGAATGTGCACAAATACACAGTGCTTAAAATAGATCTGTAGAGACTTCTAGAAGGCCATCATATACCCAAATAATTTGCCCATGAGGCAAAAAAATACATCACTTTGGTCAACAGAGTGGTGAAAATAAAAAATACATCACTTTGGTCAACAAATAGTGTTGAAAATAAAAGAGACAAGACATAAGAAACTGATAGAGGAAGCCCAAGGCAGGTGACAGAGGGGACTGAGAATTCACCGACCTTATCATGGAGGGAGATAATAGATTGAAATCTGAGTGCATTTACAGGTTAATTTTGGTTTAGGAGATTGCACAACTGAAGATAATATGGGGATGGTTATGTTATTTTGGCTAAAAGTAAAACAGAAAACCAAGAAAAGAAGGCAGCTTGGGATCTTGGCAAATTGTGTGCATTCCTGTGGTGCTGGAACGGGTTGACTTGACCCATGGTCAGTCTACAACACTGTCAGAACAGAATTTGTGTTTCCTTCTCTCATTTAAAAAGTTGTCCATGTAAGAACTATTTATAGGACAGGAGAACAGAAATCTCATGTGGAAACTCTGCTGCCCTCTCATAATTCTTGTGTGTTTGTAGCTAATTGTAATAACATATCAAGCTCCTCAGTGCAAAGGGAAAATTCTCTGTCTGCATATGTTTAAGCAGCCAGCCACCTCAATCACGATATTATGGTTATATAAATAATAACTTTGATGGGAAACAACCTCTACCATATGTGTTGACATTGCTTCTTAAGTTGTATGTGCCATTTTACAGTAATAGGCAGACAGGCCTTTTTCCTGTACTCTTTTCCTCACCTCTTATTTGCCCTTTTTGGCTTAATTTTCTCTGCTCAAGAAGTCTCATTTTAATGTTTCCCATGGCTTTTCTTATCCTGTTTAAATTCTCTCCTCATTCTGACATGGTTGAAGTCCATTACTGTTTTAGTTGTTTCTTTTATTTTTCGTGAATGTGGACTCTGTGATGTTTCATAAAATCTTTGCTGTGACTGAAATTATAATACACCAGTTATAAGAACAAGGGTTTCTCTGCTATATGGGTTTTCTGCTGCAGAAGCAGGGGTGAGCTCACACAGAAAGTCTTTGCAAATTTATCATATCCATAGTGTTTCTACCGATGTGCTCTTTGCTGCCCAATAAGGCCAATACTCCCAGCAGGATTTTGGCCACATTCTTCACAATTTTATTGTCTCCCTTGACAGATGTTCTGATCCTTTTTCTTTAACCCATCCCCAAATTCACAGAACTTTCTGTCTTCAGCCTCCTCTAGAGCGTTCTTTAGAATTGTCAGATTCTTGCATTGCTTTGCCTTGATTTCCATTTTTACAGCTGCCTCTGCCATCTTGGTCTTAGTCTTCCCATCTGACAGAGCATTGTGTTCCTGAGGGTTGTATTGAAGCAGATTTCCATGGGCTCAAGCTGGACACCTCAGGTGACAACTGGAGAAGTACCATTTATTCTGTAATCTATTCTTGCCCTCCTGAGGATCTGAGACCTGGAGCCCTGCGAGTCATTGTATAGAATAGAGTTGTAATTCCTGAAACCAGACCACTAGAGACTTCCGCTTGGTACAGTCTCCAGATTACTGTCAAAACTCACGTATGACTCCTCAGTCATGGCCCTGTCCTCTCTAGGAGTGGTTTGTTTCTGTGTGTTTTTAAAATCCTCATCGCATTATCTAGAGCACATAATTGTATTCTCCAATACATTCATCAGTTCTCACCACCTCAGTCATAGAGATCTTTTCTCTCTCTTACACACACACACACACACACACACACACACACACACACACACACACACACACACACACACACGGAGAGAGGGAGGGAGGGCAGGAAGATAGACAGACAGGCAGACAGACTTGAGCCATACTCTGCTGCTTTTCCAGGTCATAAAGAGGGAGCTGGATCAGAATTGGATCAGCCAGGACATATGGAATATCAGCACTATAGGCAGAGAATCAGCTTGCTACGTCACTAAACCAGCCGCTGTCCCATTACATTTTCAAATACTGTGTTTATAGCTCTTTACCCAACAGGAAGCCTCAACAGATCTGAATCCGTACTCTTCCTTGACATCAACTGGTCAGAGCTGAGTGATGAATGAGATTACAGCTATAACATCCAGAAGCATGTTCTAACTAGATATGGACCACCACATTCATGGAGTTTTTGAATGTTCACTGTAGGCCATAAAAACCTTAAATATAGTCTAATCACATCCAAAAGTAGAACACTCTGGGGAGAGGCAACACCTCAGCCAGCATCACAACAGTAAAATTGAGCTCATGCCCAAATCCCCACAATCTTTCTGCTTCTCTACTGAATTATGCTAGCACTGCACTTCAGCAGTCTATTGTTAGCCATGATGTTTGACCAGTTGTTGGTTTCAAGCAGTGAAGGTAATTCATGTCTCTATATTCAAATTCCTTGCAGTAGATCTTACAATTAGTCATAAAAAGTTACATATATTTTAAATTTTATGACTATTCCAATTATTACTAATTACTTATATCACTGTTCCTTTTCTTTCTGATCTTCTTCTAGAACTTCTAGAAAAATCTCTAGCACTTCTAAACAAAAGTCAACAACTCAAGGACTTTATTGAAAAATTCAAATTTGGTGGTCCTAATATAAATCCTGAATTAAATCAAGGAGCTCAAAGCAGCTGTCTGAAGATAGACAACCTTCTTGAACTTCTACAAGACAGAAGAAGGCAACTCGATAAGTACCTGAAGCAACAGTGGCAGGAATTGAGTCAGGTTCTGCAGATATGTCAGTGGGACCAACGAGAAAGCCAGGTAAACCAAAGGGGTATTGAGTGATGTCCAGCTGTCTGTCTGCTAATTTGTGCCTCTTGGGATTAGCTTGTCTTTAACTAGGACTAGATCACAGTCATCTGACTAAATCTTTTGGTCTTTGGTCAAAAGTCTTTTGTTCAAAATACCATGTTGTTTCCAAAGTAAATCACATCAAATCGAAGATTTTAAAGAAAATTCTCACATAGTATTAATTATATAAAGGGAAACAATTTTGAACATGACTACTTTCTCTTGTTGGAAGCTTTCTCACTATTATATCACTGACTTAGATACTTTTTTTTTTTTTACAATTCTAAAATATTTTCTTGGAAGTGAGAGAGGCATGATGGTGTGGAATTGGGCTAGAGTGATGCTAATGTCAGTAAAACCCAAAATCTGTCAGCCCAGAAGAGGAAAAATGCTCTTAGTAAAGAGGACAGGGAGCAATGAAGAGTTCTGATTTTGCCTTTGACTAAAAGCATAAAGGCTAGAGGCCTTTCTGAGTCAATGAGTTTGCAGGTGCAGTAGGACTCATTACCCTGACTGAGGCAGTTTGCATCAGTTGCCACAGTGTTTGCTGTGTGAGGTTACATATTCCTTTCATTCCTATCATGTAGGGCAAGAAGACACACAATTTGTGCCAATCCTTTGGCCAAATAGTGGCATATTTATTATGACATTTCTGTTTATCCCAATCCTATGCTTGAAGTTATTCAATTAAATTTTAGCAACTAACAGTGTGATAGGAGGACTTTTGGTCAGCATACACAGAAAAATTATTGATTTTATCCAAATTGGAGAGACAAACAGCTGAGAAAAAAATAAGAGGCCAGGAGAAATTGGTTTTTATTTCCAGTGAAGGAGGCAGGGGCATCATTCCGTGGGGAGAGATGACTGAGACCAATGACTTGACTGACTTGCTTCAAAAGGTCACACAGACTTGACATTTGTACTTCCCAACATCTGCTGCAAAGGAGAGCAGGTAGTGAGCAGATGCTGGACTGATGAACAAGACAGGGTCAAAGGGCCTGGACAGACATGAAACAGTAAGTTGACTGGGCTTCCTCTAAGACACTCCTGCTGGGCCTGGTGCGATAGTGTAGCAGCTAACGTCATTGCCTTGAACACTCCAGGATCCCATATGGGCACTGGTTCTAATGCCGGTGTTCCCAGTTCTCAACCAGCTCTCTGCTTGTGGCCTGGGAAAGCAGTCAAGGACAGTCCAAAGCCTTGGCACCCTGCACCAGAAGAAGCTCCTCGCTCCTGGCTTTGGATTGGCTCAACTCCAGCCATTATGGCAACTTGGAGAATGAATCATCGGATGGAAGATCTTCCTCTCTGTCTCTCCTCTCTGTATATCCGCCTTTCCAATAAAAAAATAATAAAAATAAATCTTTAAAAAAAAAAAGATTTATTTATTTTTATTGGTAAGGTGGATATACAGAGAGGAGGAGAGACAGAGAGGAAGATCTTCCATCCGATGATTCACTCCCCAAGTGAGCGCAACGGGCCGATACTATGCCGGTCCGAAGCCAGGAGCCTCTTCCGGGTCTCCCACGGGGGTGCAGGGTCCCAAAGCTTTGGGCCGTCCTGGACTGCTTTCCCAGGCCACAGGCAGGGAGCTGGAAGGGAAGCAGGGCTGCCGGGATTAGAACCGGCGCCCATATGGGATCTCGGGCGTGCAAGGCGAGGACCTTTAACCACTTGTGCCACCACGCCGGGCCCAAAAATAAATAAATCTTAAAAAAAAAAGCAAAAATACACTCCTGCATGAATATGCATAGAGAGAGAGCAGAGCATGGGTCAAATGGCTAGGTTGAAAGAAAGTGGGCAAGTCTCTGTCTCCACGAAATGTGGACAAAGGCTCTGTGATTTACACTAGACAAGACAGCAGAAAGGTCAGAATTGGAATTCCTCAGAATGTATTTTAAATGTCAGGTAGATCTCCATCTGTGCACATGCTTCTTGGTTGCATTTTGGCCTTCTGTTAACTTGTTCTAGACTTTTAGCCAAGTATATGTATAGTCACAAGTGCACATAAACACTCAGATTTATTGAAGGAACAACTAAACAAGCAAATATATATAAGATTACATTATAACCTTTTTTATTAGACTGGAAAAAACAGGCATATCTTTGTGTCAGAAGTAGAATAAGTAATTTATTGAGTGTGTAATATTCTGCTATTTGAATACAACATAGTTGAAGCAAGGTCTTACTGATGAGGAATGATGGGCTCTTCAGCTTGCAATAGTATAAACAGCAATTAGTGCTTCCTGTTTTGCCATTCTGTGAACAAGGAAATGTTTTAAAATTCAGGGAGATAGGAGCATAATTCACTCAGCCATGTTTGTAAGTTTCTGTTTTAAAGTTTTGTTGATGCACAGGTGAAAAATAGCAACAGGGACATTCCCACTGAGTGAGGCTAATTTAGGTCCCATCATTTTCACATTCCTGGATGATCTACCTTTTAATCCTAGAGCCAAACTCCCTTGAAAGATAAAATTTCTTTTGTCAGCTCCTTACTTATTTTAAGGGATCATAGGAGCAGTTAAACTTTATATTAATAAAATGTCAGTTTGTCATTTAAGAAAAAAAATGGGAATTAAGTGAAGGATTGGACCAAAGATGGATCATAATGTGGATTCTCAACATCTGATGTATCTTCTTTCATAAGGGCCATTGAAAAGGCACTCTGTGCCTCACTGTTTCCAAGTGCCTGTGGCCTTATGCTTTTGAACTCTAATAGTTCATCTAATTCTCCTTTGAAAAATAAATTAAGTGGCCAACATAATGGCATCTTAAGATTCACACAAATTGTAGGAAAAAATACAAACAAATGCCAAGAACCTTAACTTACTCAGAATACATGCTATTTTGTTATCATTGTTTTTCAGATTTAAAAATGGGCACTTATTTTACATGAAAGATGAACAGCTGCTCTTCTTTTAGTTCTAACAGCATCTTATTTTGCATGTAATCTGCTTCAATAATGAAAATCAGAAGCAGCTTGGAGAATTTTGTGCATAATTAATTATCTTGGCAAGAAGATTTATGAATGTAATTTTTTCAATTGCTCCGATCAGGCCTAAGTGAGATAAACAAATACATTAAAACTAAGTTTTCTGTGTCTTTTTTGTACAAGATAGTGTCAATCGCATATAGGAAAATTAATGACATGGGGCAGTCTCTTTGTAACACTAGATCATATTTATTGATCACAAAGTTTGGGAGTGGTGGCCAATAGAATTTGCAAATTTTGTTAGTTTATGATTTTAACTCAATGTGTTTAATAATCAGGCAATGTATTGCTAGTAAAATACATTGAAAGTGTTATTTTTTATGTCATAAGAACAGTTTTAAGACATCATTTTTATATTTGAAAGTCAGCATTATACACACACACAAACACAGAGTGGGAGGGAGGGAGGGAAGGTAGAGAGAGAACCGTTAGTCTGTCTTCCATTTGCTAGATCTGAGGGTTCACTCTCTAAATGAATGCAACTACTGGAGCTGGCCAGGCTGAAAGCAGGAAGCTGGAGCTTTGTTCAGGTCTCCCAGGCTGTGCAAAAGCCCAGGAATTTGGGCCCTCATTGCTACTTTCTCGGACATATTAGCAGAGCTGCATGGGAAGTGGAACAGTAAGAACATGAACCAGTCGAGAATACCAGTCTGTGCCTAGTGGGCATCTATAAAATTGTATGCATATATATGGATATGAGTGTGTTTATGTATAATATTTTGTATATGATGCCATCCTATAGCTAAGATTTAGAATTTGAATCGCTGACCAGCTTAAAATAGTACTCATGTGAGAAACTTACAAAGTATGAATGTTAAACTTTCAAACACTGTCTTCCATAAGACCAAAATAAGGCTTTGATTAATTTGTCACGTTCATATCTAAAAGTTCAACTCAGTAGCAGATATAAATGACTGATGAATCATTTAGAGATTGAAATATATGACAAAACTTAATTTGAATACAAAAACTGTCTCTAGAATTCTCATAAAAGCTCTTTGGTAGTAGATATAGAGTTTCTTGATTTTTTTTATAGAAGAAGCATACAGTTTTGAAAGCAATAGTGTTTATTCTAATTAGGATGCATGCTAGGAGTCGTTTTGGTGGCACTGAAAGCATCAACCATAGAGGACTCTGGCTAGAAGGCATGGATAATAGTTTTAACCATTACATCTACTAGCAATGAGGTTTCTTTTTTAAATTATGGGTTTTTTTAGATTTATTTTTTCATTTTTTGTTGCAAAGTCAGATGTTCAGCGAGGAGGAGAGACACAGAGAAGATCTTCCATCCAATTATTCACTCTCCAAATGACCACAGCAGCTGGAGCTGAGCTGATCTGAAGCCAGGAGCCAGGAGCTTCTTCTGGGTCTCCCACGTGGGTGCAGGAACCCAAGGATTTGGTCTGTCCTTGACTTCTTTCCCAGGCTACAAGCAGGGAGCTGGATGAGAAGCAGGGTTACAGGGATTAGAACCAGCACCCATATGGGATCCCGACACATTCAAGGCAAGGACTTTGGCCACTAGGCCACTGTGCCAGGTCAAAGCCCCATCAATTTTAATTCATTTTATGGGGATGTTTGCATATAAATGATATAAATTGAACATTTTAAAGACATTAAACCATCCTGAAAATTTAGCAGTTACTTATATGATGGGGTTCTGTCTCCCATTTCTTTCATAGACAACTAGGGACTGAGGCCCAAAACTGAATAAAATTTATTAAGCTGTATTCTGGGGTGGTATTATGAAGCTATCAACCGTTGAGCCCACAAACTACCCCTGGAATGCACTTTTCTCCCTGCCAACTGGGATATAATTAGATGTAGATCAGCTGGCGTGGAACTCTGTTATTTTGGGATTTGCATGATTTAGCTTTATTTTTGGGAGGGAATCACATTACCAAAACTCTGGATGAAGCCACTTTTTTTTTTTTTAAGAAAAATTATCACTGCTGAGGGAATTCCTTCCAGTGAGTCT